CTAAATAACATGCTAAATTGGCACATAGTGTGATTTAACTTTCTACGTAATAAGTAATTACCTTGCCCATCTCTAGTCGAATATGATAATTTGGTTCAACCGGACAAATGATTGTTACACTGCTGCTTCTAGGCACGTGTTCATTTGTCCCGGTTTGCCAAATTACCGCTATTCGACAATTTTTTGCCAATATTGTATACTTAATTGTGTATTACCGAAACAACTAGAATGATTAGTTAACAGCGATCTTTTGCGATGAAAGATTCGGTTGCGTGGTGCTACTGTGACATGTTTATGTGACATTAAAGTACAAAATAATTAGCAAAAAATAATAAAAAATAAAAATAATCTTAGCATTTTCCGTAATAGTTTTTGTGATTGTAAGCGTAAAAGTCTTGGTTCAGGTTCGTTGTTATCTTCGACGTTATTAGTGCTTGTTTAATTAATAACAAGCGAGAAAAAAATTCTACTAAATAAACACTTTTTAATTTAGATTATTTATTTTATAATGAATATCATGTGACAGATTAGAATTAAATCAGATTAATATGAAATGAGATGTAGTGTAAAATAGACAGGCCACCGAAAGTTACAAATTTTGGGAATGCATTTTTTTAGTGTTAGGGTTAGGGTTTAGAGGTCTTTTGTTTCTTAGCTTCAGGGTGGTGCATATTTTATATAAACCCATATCATGCCTTAAAATCCAATCTTGTTGTCACAACAAATATTTATATAATTGCTTACCTTTCTCGAATGTTCACTTCTGAAACTCTATTTTGGAATGCATGATGTGCAAAATACATCATTTTAATTGGTGACTAATGTTACACGTTCACCCAATCAAAAAAAACCTTTTTGATGTTCCTTATATGTGTTGATTGAAAATACATACTGTTGTTAATGAATATCCCGACTCATCAATTTGCATATTTAAATTTAACGGATCTGATGCATTTGCACTTAAAAGTAACTAAAACTGGTATTGCATTTCTAGCCTAGTTAAGAAACACAACTGCACCAGCCCGGAGATACTTTATCATTCAGCATTATGAAGCATTTATTAGAAATTTGCATGATTGTTTACGATAATTAAATGTATATGTATTTTTTCGAGTATCAATTGTTTTATTGTGGCAACAATAACAAAGCAAAACAAACTAAAACATGTCGCGATCGACTTAATTTGTTTTGATCATAATGTTACATTTATTTCAATAGAACTTCTTTTGGAGTACTGAAATTCATATATCTATATATGTAAATAATTACATTCATAATTGCACGTACGAATGTAAGTACAGAAACCTATATTGATAGAATATACGTTCTTAAAGGTAATTGGTTTGTATTGCAATGAATCATTATATAGCATGAACTAAAAACACTACTATATTATCTTTTAGTTTTTTAAAGCATTAGAATATATTGTATCCAGGGATATATCCTCTATAAAATATACAGATTTTGCTATATGTAAAACTAACGATTTATGAATTTGTTATTGACATACGACAAACTATTTTTCAAAAACCTATGTTGAATATTTAAACAATTACTATTGTTAAGAATTAGAAAGCTAGAAGAACCTGAACTAAGTTACTTAATTTCTGGATCTATTTCTTCATAAACTTTAAAAGTCTTTCGCATTTTGTAATACTTTCACAATAATTACATTTACTCGTGATTATTTATAACCTAGGAACTGTTCCAATTTTTGTAAAATGGTACAGCATCAACCAACATCTCTTTTATTCAAAGCGCCAAATTTTAAAATTATATAATCAATTATGACTGCTAATTTTGTATAATCAATTGTGACTGGTTAAAAATAATATATATATATATATATATATATATATTATATATTAAACGCCAAAATTTTCAAACTATAATAAACTTTAAATAGATATAACTTCTTAACTTAAAGAACTAAAAATCTCTTTTAGC